ACGTCTAAGACGATATTTGCCTACTTTTTGTTTTTGTAACTATATTTGCTCTCACGAAAATATTGAGTCTTGGAAAAGGCGCAAGAAAAGTTTTACTAAGTGCGCACAATCTGGGCAGAATGCATCATGTTTGAGGAAATGGCGCGCATCTTTTCTGCTCTTGAAGTTTTCTTTCGGCAGTTTTTGTTCTTCAGGTTGAGGAAGCTAGCAAAGAATGTTATTTTTAAGAAATGGGAAGTTGTTTTTAGCAATGCATTTTTCTTCCACTCTGTACTCTTTCTTTATCAGCAGCGCAACTCGCTTCTGCCTTTCATTAAGACAAAGTTTGTCATCATGTCAAAGAGCAAACACAGCGTTTTAGGACGTGTGCTCGCGCCGGTGTGTAGGTGTGTCATCGTGCCCTATTGCATGCTTACACGAGCAAATCTCCCTGTATGCTACACAAAATTTCACTCTGTTGACTGTTGTCGATAGCTCCTTTGTATTACGAGTAGCAGCATAGCATCTGGATAGTTCAGTCGAAAAACTCCGTCGACGTAACCTCACATTCATTTTCGCTAGCGGTTCGTGCATATTCATAAGTTTGCGGAATTAGTCATCATTTGTTGAGTTTAGCACTGCAATGTAAATTTGCGTCCGAACTTTATGATATTTCTGCAATACTTTCATTGATACGCTGTTCTCCTACCGTTGCTTTTGCAGGAAGTGGCTAATGTAATATTTTTGGTAATTTTCAGCAATGTCTGACGACGGAGCCCCACCGGAGCCCGTGCTTGAAGTGCCACCTCCAACTGAGATCAAAATTCTAGAAACAGCGGAGGATATCCAGGTTCGTAGCCATCATCTTTCCTCCATGTCTGCCCTCTCTTTAACATTATCGGTCGGATACCAATTTTAACGTGCTGGGTGGTTGAGAGCAGGCTTGTATCGGATCGCCGCTTTATTCTGGCAGTATTGATTCTTTCGGGGAGTCCGAGTTTGGGAGGCTGAAGTTCTATGCGAATGGGACTGCCATCACTCATTTGACATAGAATTATGAATGGCTAGACGAAATGACTAGGAAGATGTTTTAGCATCGACGTCAAGAAGTACTTGGTCATTATGCGCAGTTCAAAGAGCATGCCAAAAGTAAGAGGGATCGCCTCGAAGAGGCACGACAGTACCAGTATTTTAAGAGGTAAATCCGTTGCTGTTTTTTCTCCTAAAAAATCCATTTTTACACCATATCTTTGCAGAGATGCTGACGAACTAGAAATCTGGATTCTTGAAAAATTGCAGACTGCTCAAGAGGAGTCCTTTAAGGACCCCACAAACCTTCAGGTCAGTAGGTTCACATTTGGATTTTCCATTGTGTATAGTGCCCGTGCACGACGATCGCAATTCTGGCTGTGCGCGGGGGTTCGAGGGAGGACGGGGTCAATGTCGTTTATTGAGCTGATCAGGGGGATTGAGGGGTTGATGCTATCTCACAGGTTATCCTTCGCAGATTTGGACAACAT